ATCCGGCAAGTCCATCAACCCCGAATCCTTTTGATGGTGGTTGGGGTACACAAGGGTGGCCCTATGAGCACTTTAACCAACCCTTCCATCCATTCATGGATCGCCCCAGGTTTGATTTCATCAACCCTCCTAAGGAACGGGAGGATAGAAACCCCCAATGAGGGTTCTCTCCCTCCTTTCCCCCTGGATTTTCATGCCTTTCCCTTTTGCTCGAGACGTGCAAAAGTCTAGCGTGGGGAAGGAAGTTCCTTTTTGGTTGAAGTGTACATAGGAGGGTAGTGTGGTAGGATGGTAGCTTGTGCATATGGAGAACCATCAAGGATAATGAATTTATTGTAGTTAGTGATGATTTTTTTTTTTTGGTTGGTTATATTCTTATGATGATGATGTTATGAAAAGAAAATTGTTTTTCCCTCTTCTCTCTTGATCCCATAATCCAAATCCCATAATCCAAATTTTGTAGATAGCCTTTTGTCAGTCATTTTCTTTTGTTTATAATTCTAGTCTTTTTCTTTTGTTTCTTTGTATAGTTGTAGTGTTTCTTTTCTTTTGGCTCACTTTCCTTGTAGCTTGAAAACGGAAACACAAAAAGATGGAACAAGGAGAAACTCAAGCTCCGGAAACCTTGGTGAGATCGCAATATTTGTCTTGTGTTCTAATTCAAGCAGCATTTGGTGAGATCTTTCCCTACTTTCCTTTATTTTCCTTTGTGTGCATAGTTAGTTTAGACTAGGATGGAGTTGATTGTTCGAGGTCGTTTGCATTTGATTCCGCAGAATCTGGTGATCGTTGGTATTGATGTCGAACGATCTTTGTTTGTCGATTGGGAATTATATGTTTACTAGCCTCTTATATCTCTTGTACTCCTTCCACTTTAAAAAAAAAATAAAAAAAAATATATATATAAAAAAATGTGAAAAATGAAAAAGATTTTCCTTTTTGTTCAAGACAAACCACGAAAAGCTTAGTTGTTTCATTTTCATTACGAGCATAATAAAGTTGACTCATGTGTTTGAATTCTTTGCTTCTTGAGGGTTATAAGTTTGCATGCTTCGGGATTGCCATTGGTTAACTCTAGGACATGTTCATGCTAAGGTAGTTGTTCTAGAACTCGTAAGGCCCATCGAACCCAAATTCACTTGTTTGTGGTAAGAAGGTGTTGCTCTCATTAGGGGATTTGATTCCCTAGAGATGGTTTTTGTAACCCGATGTGAGTTTTATTGTTCAAGCCTCCTACATTACTTGTATGAGCGGCGTAGGATCCTCACCAAGGCATGCTTAGATCTAGAACTTGGCATCTGGCTCCCGAGATAACTAACCTATGAATGACAAAGGCATTCTTCATTCGGTGACTATTTTTGTTTTCTAGGATTAGCTTTTATTTTCATTATCTTTTGTATTTTTGGTTGCATTTTCCCTTACCATGTTGAGTCTTCCCCTCCTTGATTATAGCACATTGCAAGCCCATGGCCCTTTTGTTTTACTTTCACCCTTAGAATCGTGAAGCTCAAGCCATGAGAGCTTATTGTAGTTTTGATTTGAAATTTGGAAGGGAATGGTTCTAAATGGAAAGTGAAGTAGTGATTTTGTGAATACGTGTTCAATAAAAGCGAATGTAAATCCTAGAAAAAGCCTTCCATACTGGAAAAAAAAAGAGGGGCAGAGTTGATGAATGAAGATGTAAGAGGAAAACGAAAGCTCAAAAGTGGTTGCCAATGTAGTTCAAGTTTGTAGCAACGTAGTTTGAAAATTGGTAGATGATTGATTTTGAAAAAGAGGCTTGATCACCCTTTGCTTCACGGTTAGGCTAAGCACCAATTTCCAAATTTTTCCACACCCTTACCCCCTAGCCAACGTTACAACCCTTTCAATGCCCTTTTGACCTAGGTTGGTTGAGTCACTAGTCGATGGAGGGAGCTGGATCTCAAGCATATGGAGAGAGCATGACTTGGTAAGATGTCGGGTTCCTCTATTTTGTAGTGTTTTATCTTTGTTCCGGCTCCTTCGAGGAGTCACTTGATGCTATCTCCAAGGGCGGATATGAATCTAGATGAGGGAACGCGGTGAGATTATATGGAATGTGGGGGGAGCGGTGCTTGTTAGAGTTCTCTATGCTTAGCATGACTTTTCCTTCAATCAACCTTCGGCATCCCCTTGGATGCTCACTTCTACTACCCAGAAAGTTTGGCATTCATTCATGTTTGTTATCTCTAAAAGCTCGATTTGGCTATGATTTATGTTGGATTTGTTGTTTCTCTTTCCCTTGTTTTTGGTTTGTCTTGAACACAATCTTGTAAGAGTTGTGGGGTATGCTCTTTAGAAACCCTCACGAGATCACAACTCGTCCTCATCGGCGACCTTGGGGTTTAAATGGCTTGTTGCTTTTGCAAAAAGCAATTTCGGTTTTTCTTTTGTTCCTTGCTTGGTTGAATAACTAAATCCTTCTCCCTTGTTCATTTTCCTTTGCTTTGCTCGAGGGCGAGCAAAGGCTTAGCGTGGGGGAGTTTGATGAGTGACATTTATGTCACTCTTAGGGGTAGTATTTAGGTCTTTTTCCTCCTATTTTCCTTAGGTTTTTCCACCGCATTTCTCCTCTTATGGCTTATTTATGTGTTGATGAGAAGTAATGCTTATTTGCGCTTGTTTTGATAATATTTATGCATTATTTTATCATCCCCATGCTCTCGTGATCTTTGCTATCTTTTGCAGGTTACATGGAGGTCCTAAGCACTGTGGGAGGTCCCTTGGCCAAGTGTGGAGACAGGGAAAAAGGCAAGAGGAGCAAAAAGGGAAGGAAAGGAAGCAAGAAAAGGAAGTGCAAGAGGAGGTGTGGCCGAACCTCTGAAAGGTTCGGTCAAACCTAGGTGTGGTCAAACTTTTGAAAAGTTTGATCGAACCTCCAAGGTGCAAAGAAGGCAGTGTCAAACCAATTTTCAGCAATTTTTGCAGGAGGGGTCGAACCTCAAACGTTCGGCCAAACAAGGATCAAGGAGGTTCGACCGAACCTACCAAGAGTTCGACCGAACCTACCCTGAGTCCGACCAAACCTACCCAGAGTTCGGTCGGACCTTTTCCCGATCTCAGCCAACTTTGTACGGACTATTTAAGGTCCTTTTTAGATCGTTTTTGAGAGAGAAGAAAAAAAAAAACAGTAGAATAGTTTTCAGCAAAAACTTTCTCTTAGTTAGCACCTTAGTTCATTAAATTAGTTGATGATCTAGTTTGGAAGCTCAAAAACCTAATCATTGTAGAAGCAAACTTCAAGGGTTATTCTCATATTTTCAGCATTTATTCAACATTTTTGAAGCTTCATTTTAGTAACTTTTCTCCTTCCTCTTTACTTGGTTTCTTATTTATCATGTTCTACCTTGTTATTTGAATCCCTTTTAGTTCTTTGATGATTGTTGTTGAATGTTAGTTCTATTTTTAGCAAGTTACTAATCCAAGTTTGTTGAGCAAGATAGAACCCTAAATTTGATTTTGTGCTTTTCAATATGATGTGTGAGTAGTTCCTTGGCTAGGGGTTGGGTGAAACCCAACCTAATGGTGATTATGTGAGTTTGGGAGTGATTTTGATGATGGATTGTGATTAAAATGGATTATATGAGATTGCTTGTTAGTTCTTCATGATAGGAGTAATTAACCTAGATTATTGATTTGATGGCATGAAATGTTTGGTTCGACATGGAAGTGTGAGTTGAATGTTTCATTACTTATTACAATATGATTATGTATCTTTTGTTGCTAAGTTAATGAGGGATCTAAGCTTAGTGATTTGAGTTGTTTTCATATCGTTTGAAGTTGGTCTTGCATGTGGTCTTTGCTATTCCTTTATCCTTGCTCCTCCCTATTTGCCTAATTGCTATTGGTTGAGTGAATCCCATTCCCCTAGTGTTTTAGTTCCTTGAATTCAATCCTTAGTTGTAGGTTGTTAGTTAATCACCACTTATACCTTGATTTCGATTTAGCTTGAGCGTTAAGATTATTTAGCAATTGATTCCCGTTCTCCGTGGACCGAACCCTTGCTTGCCATTATACTTGTTTGAGTGAGGTGTTTGTTATAAATGTGTTTAACCTAGCCTAGATTGTGCGACCGATTTAGCGCTTGTCACATCCAAATTAAATTCTTTTACACTAATTAGGGAATTACATATAGAAGCAAAAAGATCGCACCCAGTTTCAGAACAGACACAGATCACGCAATACATGTCTATCTACAAAACCAAAATAGTGTAACTAGCTACACAGTGTGGCAAACAAATTTTCAATAGCATTTGATTCCCAAGCTCCAAGCCATATCTAATAAAGATAATTTGGTAATTTAGTCCACAAATGCAAATCTAGGTGTTCTACAGTTACTTGGAAAATGCTTGACCCCTAGTAAAACAAGTTAGCTAGAATCTAACAAGAACACAAGCTTTGAGTCTGCTGTAAACCTATGAAACATACGTGCCTGTTTGATTCTTCGTAACCTATTTTTCAATGCCCACTCTCTCGGCAACAACAACCAAGCTAGAAAATCTTTAAGGAGAGTAATCAAGTGGCAGGATCATAGCTCAAGTCTTCATAGCATATAGCACACACCTCCCTAAGACCCTAAGTATATATGCATAGAACCATCCAATTATTATCATGTGCTACTATGAAATGGGGGGCTTCAACGGATCCCTGAGTGTGAAAAGTTTTAACGAATTTTAAAAGCACATGCCTTTGATTCTATAAGCTTGAAAAAAAAATCCCAAGCAATTGGTCAAAGAAATACAAAATGGAAAAAGATTTTACGAGAAACAACTTATTACTAGCTTCAACTTTAAACAATTAGAGAGATGCCAACAAACATGAAAACATGTCACAGACTCACATAAACAAACCAAGTTATAAGACTTCAAAGGAGGATTTAAAATCTTTCATAATAAAACACTCAAACGATTTACAAATTACAAGAAAGGTGCTAGGATGTAGATGAACCTTCGATGTGAAATAAGATCAGACAGTATATGTTGAGAGCAATAACATGCTAATATGCTATGCAATAGAGTACTCTATGTACAATGAAACTCTAAGGAAGTTCTTACAATTTACAAATCAAAGAAGTGAATCCATTATGAATTTAGGATACTACATACTATTCATAAAGAGCATATAGGCATCTAAGTTGATGATTAGGTTTTACAACATTTAACTGTCAGATACATAGAACCATTATCTATAAAAGGAAATCAAGTCCACCAACTACTGCTTATCTATGAACAATTGAAGTTACGGAAGTCAAATCATGGATAACAGTCTTTTCATCAAGACTTGAGACCACCTTTCCAATCTTTCCTGAACTTTTTCACACACAAAAATATAAAATCATAAAACGAAATCATCTAATAATCATCTCTTCAAAACTTGCTTCAACCAGTACATAATTACGTTTGATTTTATAATGGTACTTAGCTTGCAGTTTGTTCATTGCTAATTACTTATATAATAAGAGAAGAAGCATATTATAGAAAGTTGTCTAATCTTGGATTGAATAACTAAAAAGGTTACAAGACCATATGATTTTTCATGATTTTTAAGGGGTGGAGTATTCAAGACAAACCTTGTGCGGAAATAGATTCTCCTCGGCTTTCTAGTGGAACAATGGTCGAAAGCGGTCGCTTAGATCTTTGTCGATCTTGCTCTAATTGCTGTACATCTTGCTCTATTTGTCGTACTTCAGCTGGATCCATTTGATTTTAAGCAACAAGAAAATCGTCCATTGCCATAGATGGGCACAATGGCTGCTTCTTATTCTTCCTAAGTAGTTGATCTTTAGTTCTTGCCTTCTAGCATAGGAACATCAAGGTAATCAATATAAAATAAACATGATCCCAAGAAGAAAAAAATGATTAAAAAAAGGAAAAAGAAACCTTCTTAGATATGAAGGACGTTGCTTAAGTTAAAACCTCTCTATCTCAAGACATCTCAAAATCCTCAAGGTCACAATTTTCTTCACCAGGTACATAGTCTGGATCATCTACATTAGAATTCACATTTTCCTTTCCTTTTGCAAGGTTCTTATTTTTTTCCAACAATTGTTGAGCAATCTTGTCGAGCCCTAATTCTCTAAACCTCTGGGCAATTTTTTCTATAGTCATGGACCTTACTTTCTCATAAGGTGTTAAAATGGACTTCAAGGCAATTTTAGGCTTCTTAATTACTTCCATTTTTCATTATTCTGCAAACAAATATTATAAACAGTTAGTGGGAAAAAAAAACTTTAGACCTATCAAATACCACTTACTACAAAAGACTATGACATATTTTTTTCAAACATAACACATGCTAAATACTAAAAATTTTATTAGTACTATATTTGATACCTGACCAAAGCTAATATATTCAGGTTTTGGGAAAAAAAATTAGAAAAAGCTAATATATTCACTAAAAAAGAAGATAATTTTGGGGAAGTCCAAAGATGATAAATAATTACTACTAAAAAAGCCAAATCAAATGGTTCAATCAGCAATTCTAATACAAAAAACAGAGTATAATATAATAAAATCGCATTTTTTGTAAAAAATATATACAATTGCTCAAGATTCATTAATAATCGATCCTATGGCTCATGAGCTGGAATATCTTCAGTCGCATCTATCCAATCCCAATCTGTATTATCATAGTCAACGTCATCTTCAAGGTCATTAACATCCTTAGAGTTTGATATATCAGCTATGTTCACATCACGCACTTCACCACCAGCTCCTACATGAATATGATTAGCATCGCAATAAGGAGTATAACATCCTTAGAGTTTCCTCATTCAGTGCTTCCTCAAAGTCAAAACGGACTCTTAGAACCCTTTTCATGACGTATTGAATATCTTTTTCTAATGAGTCTTGGGAATTTTATACTCGATAAACTTGAGAAGCCAATACAAATGGATCATCTTTGGAACATTTCTTCTTGAAATTGTCATATGTAAGCCCAAATTCATCAATACCACCAAGAAACCAATCACACTTAAATAACACAACGCTGAATTGAGACAAAAAGTCCAACTCAAAAATTCATTCTATCACACCATAGTAGGTTACATCTTCGTCGACGGAATTTCGATCCTTTGAACTTGCAAAACTTGAAGTCAAGGCTGTCAAAGTCACTCCACGATTTTGAGTCTTTAAATGTGATTCACGTTCTCTAGTGTAAAACCTATTACTATTGATACAATATCCAGTGTACCTCCTGGCCTTAGGATCAGGACCCTTAGCCAACCAAAAAAGTCCCCATTAACCTGCTCCCTTTGTACCTTTTCTAAAAACCTATCAATAAAATCTCCGCTATGACTTTGTGCACTATCCCATCTACGCTTTCGACTTTGGTTGTTCACCCAAATCTGATGTTCTCTAAATTATAAAAGAAATTTTTTTTATTATTTTTATTAAATTAAAATTAAAAAAACAGAAAATATATTAAGAAAAAAACTCTTACTTGATGTATGTTTCAACTGTTTCATTGTCACAATTGAAGACAATATATCTGTAAGCTTGTTTAGACATTGGAAATCTAATGTAAATCCTTTTCCTTTTCTCTTCCTTTTCCCTCCAATAGGATGTCCTACTTTAGGAAACAAAGATAATTTATCATCATGTTGATTCAAGGAAAAATTCCTAGCACATCTTCTATCTAGTCTAGTGTTTACACCTTCACGCAAATATCGATAAATAAATGTCAAGCACTCTTCCATCATATACCCTTCTGCTATACTTCCTTCGAGATTACTCCTATTTCTAACATAGGACTTCAGCTTACCTAAATACCTCTCAACAAAGTACATCCATCGATATTGCACAAGTCCACCAAATTTGATTTCCTCTACTAAATGAACATGAACAGATAGATGGATCATAACATCAAAGAATGCAGGAGGGAATATCATTTCAAATTGACAAAGTATATCAACAACTTCAGATGCTAACCTATCTAATTATTTAAGATCAACAATTTTACTACATATACCATGAAAAAAGTTCCCCAATCTAGTTAAAGGTACTGCAACATTATTTGGCAATGTCTTCCTGACAGCAACTTGAAGCAAGTGATGCAATGTGACTTGTGCATCATGAGTTTTGTAGCCAGAAAATTCCTTTCTTTAACATGCACACACCTCCCGATAATTGATGGATACCCATAAGGTAACTTTGTTTCCTTAAGAACTTTGAGAAACAAATCCTTCTTTGCATTACTCATTTAATAAGGAGCTGATGGAAATAGAATGTGGCTGCCATCTTCAGATTTGTGGGGAATGTTGGAGTGAACCAGAAAAGGTTGGGTAGAGCCGGATCTAAGCGTTGGCTAGGTAAGCGTCCTGTAGTAAGAGGAGTAGTTATGAACCCTGTAGACCATCCCCATGGGGGTGGATAAGGTTGGAGATGTGGTTTTATGCCAAGATCCAACAAATCCACACGTTCCTTATTGTGGTCTTTAGTCATTCTTGGAATGTCTAACAAAGTGCCAACAATATTATCGAAGACATTTTTCTCGATATGCATGGCATCTAAATTATGACGATATTTAATATTAGACTAATAAGACAGTTAAAGAAAGCATGATTTCTTTTTCCATGGACCTTTACCACCTCCACCTTTACTTTTCTTCCAATAATCATTTTCAAAGTTCTCTAATTCATTCATCAAGTCATTACCTGATAACGGAGAAGGTGCACACCTATCCTCTACATCTCCATTAAATGAATTTGTATCTTTCCGCCAAGGATGATCCATATCAAGATGCCTTCGAATATCCATGTAACAATTCTTTTTGCTGTGATGCAAGTATTTAGGTTTCACATCATGGTTACAATTAGGACATGCATAGTTTCATTTAGTTGACCATCCACACAGCATGGCGTAAGCTGGAAAATCATTTATCGTCCCTAATAAAGAGACATGCAATTGAAATGATTGCTTTTTAAATGCATTATAAGTCTCCACCCCATATTCCCAAAAATCCTTCAATTCATCAATCAAAGGTTGTAAATAAACATCTATATCATTTCCAGGAGACATAGGGCGAGGAAATAACAAAGACAACATAAATTATTCAGGTTTCATAGAAAGCCAAGGTGGAAGGTTGTAATTTATTAGCACAACAGGCCACGTGCTGTGACCAACACTCATAGTTCAAAATGGATTAAATCCATCACTAACAAGAGCTAAACGTACATTTCATTCACTAACAAGAGCTAAATGTACATTTCGTTGATGAATCAAAGTCCTTCCAAGATTAGGCATCTTCTGGATGTCTAATTCTATCATTTTTAGTTCGGCCTTTATCATGCCAAACCATTAATTCGGCTGTTTTGGAATACATGAATAGTCTTTGCAATTTAGGCGTCAAAGGAAAATGCCTTAAAACTTTAGCAGGAACATTGTTAGACTTTCACCTAGATTTACCACACCAAGGACAAACATCTGCTGTTTCATATTCATTCCTATAGAGAATGCAATCATTTAATTTGGACAAGCATGGTTTTTTATTTTATAATATTAAGACCCAAATTCTTCACTATATTCTTAGATTCATTAAATGATTTTGGAAGTTCGCCATTGGAAATGCCTTTCTTAAAAGCTCTAAAAGATCACCAAAGGCTACATTGCTTAAGCCATTAAGACACTTAAATAGAAATAAACAAATTATGAAAGACAATTTTGAGAAAGTTTTGCAGCTTGGATAAAGCTCTTTTATTCCTTTTTCTACCATGTGCAAAAATTTTCTAGCCTCCTCATTTGGCTCAATTTCAACCTCATGATCTCTATTTAGATCTTCACCCACACCTCTAAAAGTATCATGTAATAAGCCATTAATATCATCATGTGCACTTTGATTATTTATTTCATGCATAGTTTCTCTACCACTACTTGTAGAAGAAGATCCCTCCCTTTGCAAGAGCCACTCCTTGAATCCCTTTGCAAACCCATGAACAATCAAATGATCATAAACATCTTCTCTAGAATGGCAAAATCGCCTAGAACACTTTTTACAAGGGCAAAATATTTGATCACCAATGGCGTCCTTTGGAAAAATAACATCAAGAAAAAAATTCAAAGCAACTTTACAGTATTCCGAACTTCTAGGGTAGTTCATCCAATTTTGGTCCATAATTTAATTTATGTTTCCTAAATTAACACAAGTAAATAAGTTTAGAGATAATCTTCATTAAGCAATGGAATAAAGGTTTGTTAGATGCACATTGGAAACTCATAATTACTAAAGTTGAAGATAGAAATCCGAAGCAAGTTAGTAATACTGGCAAAGATTAAACATGAAAAACTACCACTAGCCTTTTCCCGGTTCAATTTCAAGAGTATCGTTGTTAAGAATAATGGTTACAATATGAAAGAAACCATTATTCATAATTTTTATTTTTTTTATGAAACTTGAAACAGATGTTAAGAAACAGATGGCATTCCAACATAACATTCCTTTTTCTTACCTATCATCTTTCATGTGCCTATCACGTTCATTAATCTACTAAAAATCGCTCTCGCTCACTCATAATCTCCTATAAACTTGCTAGTATTAAACTAATAGAGGTTTAAGTAACCAATGAAAGCAAAAATTATGTTAAATGTTGCTTCTAATATTCTTAATCTACTAATTTAATTCCCTTCTTGTCCTCTATAATCCAAATCTGATCCTCCACCCAAATACACTATTAAAATAATTTTATTTTTTTATTAAAAGAAGCAATTTATAAGTTAAAATTCTCTAAAAGACAAAAAAAAAAAAAAAATCAAATCTGCAATACCAACCAAAAAGCCACTTTAAATACCGTACCCCAAAACAGAAAAGCATAACTTAGGAATTACCATACCCCGCAAGATCAAACAAGTAAAAAAAAAATTGCTTTATTGATACCGCAAACCCAACAATTCGTAATATTTAACCAATTCCTAGACTAAAAATACATAAAGCGCAAACATGAAAGAACGCAGGAAGTCATAATTTGGGTTTTGCAATTCTTCAGATTGTATAAACAAGACATAAACGAGCGACTTGATGCTTGTCACGCAGAATACAGGCAAAATCTAAGGGAGAAGAAAATCAGATGAAAATCGAATCATACGAAAATTAAACCATATGAATTATAAGAAAACTATAAACAATCTATAAAATTATATCATACGAATCATACAACTTATATGAAATTTATAAACCATCTAAAAATTAAGTCATACAAATTATTTATAAACCATCTAAAAAATTAAGTCATACAAATTATTTATAAATATATCGAATCATACAAAATCCCTAATTGTTTATATTAAAAGAACCCTATTTTCCCTTATCCCCAAATTGAATACTTCAATTACACCAAATTACTACTAACCTTGTTTGTCAATCTTGAAGATAGATGAATTTCGCTATATAATCAGCCCTTTTTAGCAATCAACGAAATTCTCCAATTAATTGCGGTGGGATTAATGAATTGAAGTGAGAACACAAACTAATCTGAGAAGTGAGAAGTGAGAAGTGAGTGAGGAGATAGAAATGAAAATTAGAGTTTAATTTGGTGAATTATATTTAGAAGAGTGGGAAATAATGAAAACAGAGTGGGAAACCAAAAATTAGAACTGCTCTAATGAAAATTTTCATATCCCATATTACACCCTCCTTTTTTTTTTTTTTTTTTTTTTTTTTTTAAGGATAGTAAACTGTTGTCACATACAATCTTTGACTCACTCGTTGAAAAGTGTTGCCAAATTTTTTGTACAACAACTACTAGACCAAGACTAATAATCAAGTGACGTAGATTAAACAGGTTTCAGGTTAACTTGATGCATGTTGATCGAAAAGGGCGCATGAATATCAAAAGTATTAAGTAGTGGTCTATTTAGGGCGGGTTCAATCTCTTATAGGTTAGATTTGTACCATCATCCCCGAACATCCAGTCATGGTTCCGGACCACTATGGAGTTAGCGATCTCCGAGCCATGGTTGAGGACCACTATGGAGTTTGAGATCTCTGTGATCTTAAATGGGGTGTAACCTTCACACCCGTGAACGGTTTACAAGTTCCTAAAACTTGTTGGCGACTCTTTTTTTCTAGCTTCTTTTCCTTAGAATGCCACTATGCCTAAAAGCATGAACCATAGTAAGTCGAGAGTTGAAAAATTCCCTACTGTTTTTGGAGACTCCAGTGGGAAGGATTTCTACAATTTCTACTGTTTTTGGCACTAATTTGGAAAATGCTTGACCATCCACTAAATGCCCATCCCCTCTAGAGTAACGTTAGTTAGATAAAGTGTAGTTAAGTTTCTTGATACAGTAAAATCATTCTCAAGCTTTAGGATGCAGGAATTTAAACGCATATCTCGTAAATAAGAAAATTGGGAAAGAAAGGAACCGCTGATACGATGCAACCTTTAAAATGGAATAGGAAATAACTTCTCCACCTAAATATGGGACATTAAAATGAATGAAAAACTGATGGAATTCATAATGGTTTTGGTATCAGCATCCCTTGTTTGCAACTGGGTAAGAGTTGTAGGAACTTGAAGGGGGCTTTTGTTTTGGTTTCTTGTTGTATAGCAAAGCTCGTGCTGTCTTTTTATGATGAGCACAAATTGAGAATCTTGGAAACAAATCTATTTTCATAGAGAACTATCAGCTGTAGTACTTGTTTCGGGGTTTTTGATGTCCTGCTGGAGTTACAATTCCGGGACTGGTATCCTTGCGCTTGTACCTGCAAAACAACGGAGACTTCTTGTGGTGGGAGTTACGCCTCCGACGATCAAGTTAGAACGTGTATGAGGAGTGAATAGTGCGGAAAAGTAAAGGTTGGGAGATCTGGTTCCTCTAGGTGAGGAGTGATCTAAGTGTTTATGTCAGTATAACTAATGTTCTTGACCCCCCATTAATGAGGATTAATGAAGGTATTTATATGCCTTGGGATGCGTGTCAGTCCTAGGTTTAGGTCAACCTAGAACTGATTGGGCTTCCACAAGACTTTTGGGCCTAGGTGGCCGGTTTTCCCATTTGGCATGGGGAAGGCTACGTGTCGTAGCATAAGAGGTCCAAGGTGGACTGATCAACACTTGACACGTGGCAAGCTCCAATTGGTCCATGTGGCGGACACTTGGCAGAGCCTGAATGGTCCACTTGTCAGGTGATGATTGGTAGGGAAAAATCCCCTAATCATTTGCCCCTCACAGGTGGCACGTGACTGTTCACATGTCACCTGTGACAGGTGTCGGCGTGTAACAGGCGACGGCTTGCTACATGTATTGCCCTATGACGGGTCGAGCATTTTTCCCGCTCGTTTTTTGAATTTGGAGGCGACCCTTCGCATTCTCCTTTTAACTTATATAAGGGCATGTTGACCAAGTCTTTTGTTCACATTTGCGAACTTTTCAAGAGAACTCTCGGACCCCTGACTTTTAGCTCTGACACTTTGCAACTTTTGACCTGCCGATTATTTCTGACAGGACGACTGCTTTTGTTAGGCGTCTGTTCGATCAAGCTCTCCTTTAGAACTTAAGTTTCAGGTAACCGTCTGTTCCTTTATTGTTTTTGCTTTTTCACTTTTTCTTTCTTTTTTGAAAATGAGACCTCAAAAGCATCCAGCACGACCTAGGTTAGCAATCAGCTGGTCACCGGGGACGACTGAGTCTAGGACTAGGGGTGTCGACTGCCCTGCGGTACTTCAAACTTTGTGCAAGTCCCGGAATCTAACTGTCTTTGTATCTATGCAGGACAGTATGGCAAGAACTAAAAAGACAAAGAGGATTGAAAACTCTGATGGCTCCTCTTTTCGGGTTCAGATAAGTGAGTTGTCGGACTAGCCGCCTGATACCGCAGGGACCCTAGGTGGCCCTTCTGCCGAGAGCTCTGAAGAGGGAGCTAAGGTAGCCCCTTCAGACTTCACTATTGACCTGGCCAGTTAGCAGACGACCCCTAAAGAAGAAGAGGGGTCGGCCCCCTCAAGGAGAGGGGAGGAGTCGGACTCTTCTGATAGTGAGTCTGACTCTAGCTCTTCAAGCCGCCTCTCTATAAACTCAGAGGAAAGGCACTCTCGTTTGCATGAGGCGAGACTTTCTCAAGCTGATGAAAAGGGGGACGGCTGGTCGGAACCATCCGCCTTTCCTAGGGATTTGAATACTCCTTACTATTGTCATGTCCCAAAGGGCCGGATCAAGGCCATGAAAGAACAAATAGACTCTTTTTGTCGGACCATGTGATGGGTCCTGATTTTCAAGTATTTGTGTCGGATGGTGAGGATACAGTCGCCAGGCCCGCGGGAACAAGCCTGTTTTGGCTTCTACGAGGCGGCCATTAAGGCTGGGCTTCGATTTCCCTTGCATTCGGTTGTTTAACAAATCCTCAATGGATACGAGGTGGGGCTATGGCAGTTAGCCCTAAATTCCTGGTTCAACATCCTTGGCTATGTAGCCGGATGTGAAATGCATGGGGTGGAGCCAAATTTTGAGGTGTTCTCCCATATGAACTATCTTAGCCGGACCCCCAAAGCAAGCGGTACCGGCTGGTACCAAATAACTAGCCACAAAGACTATCTGATGACGAAGGGCAAAGAAAATAAATGGAAGGATTGGAGAAACACCTTCCTCATCATTGCCAGCCCTGACAAGCTGCTGAATAAGCGCTACAATAGGTGGAACAAAGATCCGCCTCTTCTAGCAGGCGGTCGCAGCATGCCGCTTGTTCCCCTCAAGGCCAGGGAAGAGATCCTGGACCGAGGGATTTTCAAAGTAGAGATTAGGGCAGCCTCTACTACTGGGGTACGAGAGAAAGTGCCCCTAAACTGCGTCCTAGAGTTTTAATGGCTCTATGACGAGTACTTTCTGGCCGACTGCGGCCTTAGCAGTCGGACCTCCAGAGGTAGCCGGCCACTTGAGCATGTATACGTCTTTTGCTTTGTTTTTGAATTTTTTCTAACTCTTTGTGGTTCTTATTTGTAGCTGAAGCTATGGACTAGATTTCTGCATCAAAGAAGGCAGCCGCCTTGCTGCGGACCTCCATCATGCATCAGAAGCGGACCTCTTCTGGTTCTCCTGCCAAGGAGACGCCCATAGTGAGTTTCTAATCTTTCAAACTTTGCCTTGAAAGCCTGCTATTATTAGTATTGACCATTTCATATTTTTTCGCAGGCGGGCACGTCCAAACCCTCCACTTCCAGCAGCCGGATACGAAGCGATTGGGAGCTCTCATAGCTCTGTCAGGAAGCAGTCGGCTGACAAGCAGTCGATCACCCCACAAAGTGTGGGGAAACCATCACAAGTCCTTAGGGACAGTCGGCCGCCATGAAGTATAAACTGCTGTGCTAGACTTAACTTATTTCTTCATTTCTTCCTTCATGTTTTTTATGTTTCTCTTTTTATTTTTATTTTTATTTTTTTTTGAATGCAGGCGGCCCTCAAGAACCGGACTTGGTCCAAATGGCCAAGTCTATGATTAAGGCCGTCCCTCAAGAGGAGAGGGATGCGGTCAAGGGAGTCAGCACCCTTGACCTAGACGACATCATGGGTCTCCTTTCCGAGGTAGACTTTGAATATTTTTAAAGTGTTGACTTTGCGTGCCGCCTGTTATTCTCAAATCTGACGCCTGTTTTTCCTTTTTCCAGACCATGCTGAGAGTACACGGCCTCCGAAGGCCGATCAGCGCCAAGAACAAAGAGGTAAAGGCTGCTAAAGCTATGGCCGCCTCTGACATTTATAAGGTAATGTTTCAAATTTCCCAAAATGAAATTTTGACAACTGATATTCTTTATTATCAGGCGCAGGCCACTTCCACTATCCGCACCGAGTTGGAGGCGGCCAAAAAGAAGAATAATGAGCTGGAGGCGACGGTCAAGGGTCTCCGAGATGAGCTGAAGCCGCTTAGGCAAAAGATGACCCAATTTGAGGCCATGGAAAAATCTTTGGCGTCTGTCAAAGACTGCCTGCAAAAGTAGGAGAAGAGCCTCACTGACGAGCTTTCGGCCAAGGCCGAGAAAGAAAAAATGGAATTAGTCCAGGCCATGATGGACGACTCGACTCAGATCATGAAGATGACTTGGACGACCCTCTTCCCAAAAGCTCACTATGCCGCCCGGGATAAAAAGTTCAACGCTTGTACTGAAACGTACAACCAACAGATTATGAGGCAGGCGGCTGAGGAAGACGAGGCGGTTGACTCCAGCTCAGAGGAGGAAGAGAAGGTGGTGGCCCTACAACCGATTGAGGTGGATGCGCATAAAGCTCCTGCCCTTGAAGGCGAGTCGTCAAAAGAGGGGGCTTTGAAGAATCAAGCACCCGACGCTAAGCTCGATCAGGCGGTAGTTGAAACTCAAGCTCCTCCCAATGTTTAAAGCTTTCATTTTGTCAAACTTTTCTCCAGCCTGCGTGCCGTTTGTTCTTGTATCGCTTTACCCGGCCAAGGGGTCGGGGTTATTGAATATTTTGCTGATCTTTATGGCCGGCTATTTATATGAATTCGGCGACCATCTTTCGGTCTTCTTTGATCACAGAATCTTGTTTTATGCTCTATTTTTGCAAAGTACAGAGGATCCTACTATCCACTTGTATGTTATACCGACTGTTTCGGCTAAAAATGTTTTAAAATTTGTAACTTATCGTAAGCTAAAGATTGCGAACAGGTACTAGGTACCGACTGCCTATGCCCCTGGACGACTGGTTATCTTGGTTCCAGGTTAGGCGATCAGTCGGCCATTTACCCAGTCGGACCCCCAACGTATTTTAGGAAATACGTTAGGTTTGTTTAACTTTTTCAAGTAAGAAAGGAACATGCCGCTTATAACCAGCCCGCCTGTTTATTAAAATAGGAATAGTTCTTGAGTCCATGTTTTCCAAAAAGCAGTCGACCTACAAACCAGATTTTCAAACATGTTTGGTTTGAAAA